ATAACGTAAATACGTAACGACAGGTTAGGTAGGCATCCGAAAGGCTACAGAAAATAGTGTGAAATGGAAACATCGTGCTGAGGCCCAATTTTCCAACTGCCCCATAAACGACCTCATGCAACGTAGGATGGGTAGACTTCAGCCAACCCCTCGAAATGCTATCATGTAGCCACGCGTCCACAACCTCTGCCACGGAAGTCCAATCCACTGCATTCAAGAGGTGATGAGGGTGTTCCTCACAAAAGTGAAAAGTAGATATCAAACACATGGCACTTACAGCCGGACAGGTGGACAAGTTAGTCTACTTAGGAGAACGCTCATTTCAGAATCTATGTTATACACAGGCTCCAGATTCCGAAAGAATCGAATGGTCTATGAACCTGTTTCGGTCACCGGAAACCATGGGAACGTAGCTCGACTACCTTGTGGATCAAACTCCAAGTCAATGGCTCAGGTGTGGAAGGGGGTCGGCCTCTTAAGACAACCACCTATTTAGGCCTGCGCACAAATTATAACATGTTGTGTGGCACATCTCTTGGTCTCCATATTGCACCGAATTTGTGTTTTAATTACAATAATAATGTTCCAGTTAGAACGCAAAGAATACAATATAACAGAGGTAAAGTGAACTTAGGCAATAACGGCCAACCCCTCCAATGAACAATTTGATAATCAACCACTACAGAGAATTTTATGTAGCAATAATATACCAAATTGTGGTTGACTGGATTATGCGTCAGACAGTGGGAAACGAGAAGACAGGGATATCCTGGACCGACGTGAAGAATCTAGAAGACCTGGATTTCACGGATGATTTATGTTTGATGTCACACAAAATCGAAGACTTACAAGCGAAAACCGACAAACTGGTCGAAGAAGCAGCCGGTGAAGACAGGACTCCAGGTGAACATAGACAAGACGGAGATTATGAAAATAACCAACCAACAACAACAACAACAACATCCAGCGCCAATCACCATCAACGGGAGGGATTTGAAAGAGGTGACTTCATTCACTTATCTAGGGAGCATTGTCTCAACTACAGGAGGAACAGATGAAGATGTCAAATCGAGAATCGGGAAGGCGAGAAACACATTCATCAACCTGAAACCAATCTGGAAATCTTCGTCACTCAGCCTGCATCAACAACAAAATGATTCGGATTTTCAATACAAACGTCAAGTGAGTCAGTTCTTCTATACGGATCAGAAACTTAGCGGCGGGTCACAAAGAATATTTCCAACAGCCTGTTGCAGACCTTTGTCAACAGCTGTCTTCGCTCTATACTCAACATCAGATGGCCGGAGAGAATCACCACCAAAAAACTATGGGAAGAAACAAAACAAGAACCAATCGCTCAACAAATATGCAGGAGAAAGTGGAGATGGATTGGACACTCGCTGAGGAGGCCGCTGGGTGACATCGCGCTTCAGGCCATGGCTCGAGTGGAACCCGAAAGGGAAGCGGCGAGTGGGACGTTCAAGGGTGACATGGAGGAGATCGTGTGAAGAGGAGTTGAAACAGTAAGGAGTAACATGGATGCAAGTGAAAAGTACAGCAGAAGACAGAAGCAAGTGGAGATGTGTAGTTGAAGCCCTATGTTCCACTAGGAACCCAAGGGAACAATAATAATAATAGACAGAAGAAAGTCAAACGAACATTTGAAAAATTAATTTTCACCAAATGGGAACGTTAAATCATCACAGCCAACTAGGCAGTGACCTTCAGCGACCAATCAGAATTTAGATGCAAAAAAGTTGCGTACTCGTTGAAGAATACACTAAAAAATATTGCTCACATGATATTACATTGTATAGTTGTAGCTTATGTGTTGTGAGAATGCCTCCCAGTCAATAAACATACGATCTAGAGAAAAATCAATCGTACCATGAGCGATTTCCCTTTCATCCAAATAACTATAGGTCATGGTGCTTTGAGATCCATCGGTATTTCCCTAACTGTAACCATAATCCCAACTCCTAACTTTAACCCTAGATCTTATGCCTCAAACTTGAACGCCCTATCATTATTATTTTCTTGCGTTCCGAGTGGAGCCTAGGGCTTCAATAACACATCTCCACTTTGTTCTGTTTTCTGCTGTCCCCTTCAGCTGGGTCTACGATTGACCAAACTCTCTCATCTCTTCCTCACACGATCTCCTCCATGTCACCGTCACACTGACTACCCACTCGTCACGTGACATTACCATATAGCTGTTGAATTAGGTTAACAACGACTTGAGGTACGCTGTAGTTTTGAAGTAGTTTCGAAATTGCTTCTCGGTCTACGTTGTCTGTCGAAGGCCTTTTCGAAATCGATGAAGTTGAGGTAGCGGTTTGACTGCCATTCCATGCTTTGTTTTGTGATGATGATGCGTAGGGTTGCCTTTCCTGAATCCAGCTTGTTCCGGTGTGGCTGACGGAGTTCTGCATCCAGTGCATCCTTGATTCTCTCCAGGATGATGCGACTTAGTATTTTACTTGGCGTGGACAACAGCATTATTCCACGCCAGTCAGTTCTTGCACAGGCCTAAGTCGCCTTCTTTGGCAGTTTGACGAGGTAGCCCTTCTTCCAATCAGTAGGCACCTTTCCTTCTTTCCAAACATTTTGCAGTAATGGAGTGAGAACGTCTACCGTAATCTCTGGGTCCGTCTTCAGTGCTTCGGAAGGAATTCCATCTAGTCTTACTGCCTTCCCGACTGGACTTCAGTAGTTTGATCACATTCAGGATTTCTTCTTTCGTTGAAGAAGTAGTGTCCACTGGCAGGCAGTTCGATGTGTGCTGTTGTTGGTATTTCTGGGTGGTGAGTTGCCGGCAGTGGTCGATTCAAGAGTCCTTTATACTGGTGATCAGCCCATTGTTCGATAATCAAGTAGTAAAACTGTATCTATCCTCTCCAAGTTCAAAAAGGGGCAGGGCAGGCATGATTTGATGACACACATCAATGACATTTCATAACATTCCCTGTGTCTAATCGGTCCTTGAAGATCAACTTTTCAAGGACGTTGACTTTGGTTGGCTATGTGATATAATTTAACTTCGTCCATCAACTGAATAACAGAAAATATGTACGGTGTATACATATATTTATATATATATTTTTCTTTTCCAATCAAATTTTGACAAATATGATTGTTTAAACGTCATGTAAGAAGCAAAGAAAAAACAAAACAAAAACGAAGTGAACAGCAGATGAAATTAGCAACTATCACATACATCATATATATATATATATATGAGCGTTATTCAAACACACAGTCAATAAGTACATGTACAGTTACAAAAGTCATGTGCATCAAGGAAAAAGAAAATAAACAAACGTTAGAAAAAAGCACTTATGACGACACCCCTACTCTCATCAGTAATAAATAATAACAATAACAATCGCTAAACAGAAAGAAATGCAAAGGAACAAGCGAAACAAACACACAGTTTGTAGAAACCAAAACAGAAGATTGAGCGTGGTGGTGGTAAGAGAAAGCCTATCGTATTTCTGCCTATAAATCATACTCGTACACACACTTGTGACTAACGTTGCCTCCACCTCCGTTCGTGCTCCAGAATATGACGTAACAAATTCTGATGTGATAATTATGGGATATTGGAAAAGAATTGCAACCACCCGTTAGTCAGTCAGCACTCTACAAGAAGCCCCCCAAAAAAGAAAATATCCAAAGGAAGCCAATAACACAACAATTAGAAGGGATGGGAGAAGCAGTGAATACAGAAAAATCAAATGAAGTAATGATAATAATAAATATAATAATAAAAATAGTAAAACAGATCAAAAGATTTACGGGATCGTATGTTCTCAAAACACAAAAAAAACCCAATTCATCATTGAACTTGTTCAGAGAAACAAGAACGAATAGAAAGACATTTACAGGTAACAAAAATAAAAGAAATGGAAAGAGCTGTATACTCACACACATATTGATATATATATGTATAAATATTCATATTTGGCGCGTGTTAATAAAGAAAAAAAGATTAAAACAAACTATAAATTGAATATTGAATACTGGAGATAGACCGCCTGCCAGACACCACACATACAGGAGAAAAATAAAAGACGAGTAGTATTGTTGTAAAACATTCTGTGAATAGAAAGATTTCAGTTTTTTCGCTTATCTGTTTGATTTCATTCATGTATCACCGTCAGTCAGTCAAGTGTACGGGGGGAGGAATATATCCCCGCAACACACACACAACGCAACAACAATGGCGAAAAAACCAACGTTTTCCATTTAACTACTCATGAGTAGTAAAAAGTGGTAGTGGTAAAAAGAGGAGAATAACCAGCTTTTATTGTAGTAGTAGTAGAAACACACTCTCATATCATTTCAAAGCCAGTCAGCCAGCCAGCAACCAACCAACCAAACTCGATTCACAGTCAATCTCTTAACAACAATACTAATAATGATGAAAGTATGACAAAGTTAACTATGCAATAACAGAGGAGAATGCAGCATACGGGTGTATATATATAAATCTTATAGAGTAGTGAGTACAACAAGAGTCTCTTGTTGACAAGAAAAAAGAACAACCCAGGTTTTTTCTGAGAATAAATCAACAAACATACAGCACACCCAAGCAAACACATAGATTCCCATCGCCGTCACCGTAGAGAGTCGGTAGGACCTGCTGTCCTCCCTGGCTTTTCTGAATATGTATACATGACAACTTGAGTGAGAGATAATATAAAATAAATAATTGAAAGAGATCACCATATTTGTCAAATAAATAAATAAGTAAATAAATAAATTGTCCTCGAAAATAAGCCCCATCCACCCACCCAACCACCAAAGAAAAAGTCAAAAAAAACAACAACACCAAAAAAAACAACAAAAACAGAGAGATTTGTGAAAATAAATAACACTAATAATAATAAAGAAGATATGACTTTCTCTTTCTCATCATCAGAGGTTGAAGGATTCAACCACTTTTGAAGAGAAATTCTGGTGATGATGATGCTCGTGATGAATGAGGATTTTTTTTCTCAATGAGGTAAATGCGTAAAACAATCAGAAAGAATAAAATTATTATTATTATTACTATTATTATTATTATGATTAATATTATTATTATACGATGCCATTGAATGACGTCGAGGTAATACCGGTCTAGGGATAACATATTTCTCTGTGGAATTATTAATACGACCACTACTAGTATTAGTAGCGGTAGTATAAGGAGCGAAGTAAACTTGACAAGTTAATGTACTGGCTTTTTGATACTTTTTTAAACGTTTACGTGGTTCAATCGACGATTGAGACAGTGAAGGAAGTCGTCTATGATTACTATGACTTCTAGTATTACTGACATTATTAATTGGTAACTTTTGCTGTTGCTGATGTTGTTCTTGACCAACAGCAATCTTGAGTGGATTGTTAAAGCTTCTGCTGTTGTCAAATGTTGATTCGTCGTCGTCAGTAGTGGTTAAACACATCGTATTACTGTCATTAGTATTAGTATTATTATTGTTATTCGTATGAATGCCAGCCACTTTTGATGAATTAGAAGTGTTTGGATTTAATTGAGGAGTTGTCAGAAAGTGTGATTCTGCCTTTTCTACCTTTTCTTCTTCTCCATTGCTCACTCGTATGATTGTCTTCAGATTATGTTGGTGCTGCTGGGTGCAACATTTTAAAGAAAAAGGAAATATACATATATCTAAATACACTCATATTAACATATGAGATACGCATACAACAAGTTAAAAACACTTTTTGTACGAAATTAAAGAAACAACAACTTGTTTGCTTGATATTTAGATGATGACGTTTAATGGGGGAGGATTGATATCAGTTAGAGTTAGAGGTGGTGCTTTGGCCAACTACTTCGCTACTACAGGGTGCCACCGACTTGCCTGCCTTGTTAAGAATTCTGCGTAAGGTGTTCCGAGGTTCCTTCCTTGTATGGAATTACTACTGATGATTTAGATTCCTTATTGTTGGTGTCGTCGTTAATATTATTATCATTATTATTGTTATTATCACTATCAGTACTAACATTATTTATTTTATTTTTACGTTTCCCTACATATTTCCTGACTAATTTATCAGGGTAGTAATAATTATAATTATAATAATAATAACGACATGCATGTCAAATATGTGCAAGACAACACCAATAATAAGGAATCTAAATCATCAGTAGTAATTCCATACAAGGAAGGAACCTCGGAACACCTTACGCAGAATTCTTAACAAGGCAGGCAGGAATAAAAGTGACTGGCATTCAGACCTACCACAAACTCAATTAGAAACAAGCTTTGTCAGTTAAATGGTGGATCCTGTGGAGCCTTTAAAACAAAACAATTTAGTTTATCTAATACCCTGTCTGCAATGATTGTCAGGTCAAATTAGTAGAACAGATGCAGTCAGTCAGATTAGTGGAGCATAAGAACCTAGCGGGAAAATCTAGACTAGTTGACTCGAATAAGATAAGAAATCTAGAGAATAGTTCAGCTATAACACACACTACAGGATGGGATAGGATGACAGTTTTAAAATCTAATACAACTAACATGGTGGAGGGAGAGATTGATAACAGAAGCTTTGTTTATCGAATCAACTGAGAGTGGATACGTGTAATAGGAATGATTCATCATCTGTTCATCCAGATATCTAGAAAATTCTACTACCCCAACGACGAGAGAACAAAGAAAACTATAAGACTCAAGTTTCGAAGTCGTGTGATTATAATTGATGAAATGATCATGAACAGCAATAAATTTTGTTCGAAACATTGTCATCCAGTAAGTAATAATACTGTTTCACTGACTGTGTGATACATCTTAATAAACAAACTAATATGGAATTGACCTTCTAACCCCTAATATCTTTCATGGTAATTTAACCTAATTCTAACCTGTCCTTAGACTAAACCTTAACTTAATCTTTCCCAGACTTAACCTAAAACTTACCAGATATCCCGTTTAACATCATAATACTTCATTAAGCATATAGTGTCATTTACAGGGTTTCACTAACTTGCTGACCGTGTGTTTCACGGACATTGGTGAGTTCGTACGTCTTCGGCGCCTAAAGTTTAACTTCACCCATAATAAATGCCTTTTAACGATGACAGGCGTCAGACAAAGCTGTTTGTTATCTTAGATGACATCAATAACGCGTGTCACCCTGTGTAAATTTCCATATAGTTTTTACATTCAAGGTTTCCTTACTACCATCTACAGAAATCAATATATATGTATATAACTCACAAGTCGTCTTATCTTTAGTTTTCTTTATACAAGTTATACGTACGAAGTGACAACTGATGACTTAACTCCAGGTTAAACTGAACATCTCACCAGCCAGAACCTAATTCTACAACTCACCACTGGTTACCGTTTATCGAACACCACGCTGTTTTTGTGGTGCAATCAAAGGTCAACAAAACAGAAGGAGAAAGATATTCCTACGATTTTCTCAACAGGTACCGAAAAGCCTATGTCTCAAAAGAGCAAACCGCTTTCAACAGTGAGTGCCATTGCTAGACATTTCATTGAGAATGTAAATCAATTCTCTATAATATTTTCCACAACAAATGCTATCGAACGCTTAGCAACTGATTTATGTGTTAAGAAAGTAGCAGTTATCAGTCATTCCCGGTAACCTGATAACTCGATGTCTTTACTGTCTCTCTCTCTCTCTTTATGTGATTACGTAATATCTAGCTTTGAGGTCTTCCTTCTTCGCCGTCATATAATTTTGCATGTTCTTTTGCCTCTGTGATTTGAGTTTAACTCATCACACTGCTATTCAAATTTTATTAGTTACTCATCACCTTATCCGCCTCTTGCCTTTATCGCGCAACTCTTTTCCCTTGTATTCTCTTGTATGCGAACAGAGGGCTAGTTTCGCATATGCCAGTTTACGCCATCTCTGGCGTAGACGTCATATCCGGCTGGTTATCGACCAAAGGGCGTGTGTACTGCTCATCAGTCCGCTCCATCCTCCTTTATGGCTGTGAGACCTGGCCACTGAGAGTGGAAGACATGAAAAGATTAGCTGTGTTCGATCATAGGTGCCTGCGTTCTATCTCCCGTGTCAAGTGGTATAATAAGGTGAGCAATATTGAGGTTAGGCGTCGAGTGTTAGGTTAGGAGGGGGAAATCAGTCGACGAGACTGTGAAATTACATCGACTGAGATGGTTAAGACATGTGTTACGTATGCCCAGTCATGACCTTCCTCGACGGGCAATGCACGCTGATATAGGGTCAGGCTGGAAAAGAGCTAGCGGCGGTCAAACGAAAACATGGAACCAGTCAATGAAATTGACAACAGTTAGTCTAAACCACGTAGGAAGGTGTACAGTTCTTGACTGGTTGGGGTCCTCGGGACAGTAAAAACCAATGGTTGGAAACAATTGGTAACATGGCTCAAAATCGTTCTCAGTGGCGCAGATGCATTCACTCCTTGTGACTTATGATTTCCAATGGAACTGTTTTGTTCTTCGTTATTACTATACCTTTGTCTCACACCTCTGTTTACTGTCTATATTATGCATTTCTTCTACTTTCTTCTCTTCCTTTGCGTGCTACATGCATTGTGGCGACTTGAACTTCCGCACATATGTGCAAAGTTCTATGTCGAAAACCGACCGACCGACCGACAATCAGTAGGCACCTTTCCTTCATTCCAAACATTTTGCAGTAATGGAGTGAGAACATCTACCGTAATCTCTGGGGTCGTCTTCAGTGCTTCGGGAGGAATGCCGTCTAGTCCTACTGCCTTCCCGACTGGACTTCATTAGCTCAATCACATTCAAGATTTCTTCTTTCGTTGAAGGAGTAATGTCCACTGGCAAGCAGTTCCATATGTGCTATTGGTTGTATTTCTGGGTGGCGACTTGCCGGTAGTGATCGATTCAAGAGTCCTTTATACTGGTGATCAGCCCATTGTTCGATAATCAAGTAGTAAAACTGTATCTATCCTCTCCAAGTTCAAAAAGGGGCAGGGCAGGCATGATTTGATGACACACATCAATGACATTTCATAACATTCCCTGTGTCTAATCGGTTCTTGAAGATCACTCTTTTCAAGGACGTTGACTTTGGTTGGCTATGTGATATAATTTAACTTCGTCCATCAACTGAATAACAGAAAATATGTACGGTGTATACATATATTTATATATATATATTTTTCTTTTCCAATCAAATTTTGACAAATATGATTGTTTAAACGTCATGTAAGAAGCAAAGAAAAAACAAAACAAAAACGAAGTGAACAGCAGATGAAATTAGCAACTATCACATACATCATATATATATATATATATATGAGCGTTATTCAAACACACAGTCAATAAGTACATGTACAGTTACAAAAGTCATGTGCATCAAGGAAAAAGAAAATAAACAAACGTTAGAAAAAAGCACTTATGACGACACCCCTACTCTCATAAGTAATAATAATAAGAATAATAATCACTAAGCAGAGAGAAATGCAAAGGAAAAGAACAAGCAAAACAAACACGCAGTTTGTAGAAATAAAAACAGATTAGGGGGGGGGGTTAAGAGAAAGCCTATCGTTGCCTCCTCCACCTCCTGCACCAGAATATGACGTAACAAATTCTGATGGGATAATTATGAGATATTGGAAAAGAATTCCAGCCACCCGTTAGTCAGTCAGTCAGTCAGCCATCCATTCAGTCTGCACTCTACAAGAAGCCCCCCAAAAAAGAAAATGTCCGAAGGAAGCCAATAATACAACAATAAGAAGGGAAGGGAGAAGTAGTGAATACAGAAAAATATCAAATGAAGTAATAATAACGATAATAATAATAAAAATAGTAAAACAGATCAAAATATTTACGAGATCGTATGTTCTCAAAACAAGAACCATTAGAAAGACATTTACAGGTAACAAAAATAAAAGAAATGGAAAGAGCTGTATACTTACACACATATATAGATATATATGTATAAATGTTTATATTTGGCGCGTGTTAATAAAGAAAAAAATTAAAACAAATTATAAATTGAACATTGAACACTGGATATAGACCGCCTACCTGCCAGACACCACACATACAGGAGAAAAATAAAAGACGAGTATTATTGTTGTAAAGTATTCTGTGAATAGAAAGATTTCAGTTTCTCGTTTATCTGTTTGATTTCATTCATGCATCACCGTCAGCCAGTCAAGTGTACGGGGGGAGGAATATACCCCCGCGCAACACACACAACGCAACAACAATGGCGAAAAAACCAACGTTTTCCATTTAACTACTCATGAGTAGTAAAAAGTGATAGTGGTAAAAAGAGGAGAATAACCAGTTTTTATTGTAGTAGTAGTAGAAACACAGCCTCCCTCATATCATTTCAAAGCCAGTCAGTCAGCCAGCAACCAACCAAACTCGATTCACAGTCAATCCCTTAACAACAATAATAGTAATGATGAAAGTATGACAAAGTTAACTATGAATTAACAGAGGAGAATACAGCATACGGGTGTATATATATAAATCTTATAGAGTAGTGAGTACAACAAGAGTCTCTTGTTGACAAGAAAAAAGAACAACCCCGGTTTTTTCTGAGAATAAATCAACAAACATACAGCACACCCAAGCAAACACATAGATTCCCATCGCCATCACCGTAGAGAGTCGGTAGGACCTGCTGTCCTCCCTGGCTTTTCTGAATATGTATATATAACAACTTGAGTGAGAGATAATATAAAATAAATAATTGAAAGAGATCACCATATTTGTCAAATAAATAAATAAGTAAATAAATAAATTGTCCTCGAAAATAAGCCTCACCCACCCAACCACCAAAGAAAAAGTCAAGAAACAAAACAAAACATCAAAAACAGTGAGATTTGTGAAAATAAATAACACTAATAATAAAGAAGATATGACTTTCGCATTCTCATCCAGAGGTTGAAGGATTCAACCGCTTTTGAAGAGAATTTCTGGTGATGATGATGCCCGTGATGAATGAGGATTTTTTCTCAATGAGGTAAATGCGTAAAACAATCAGAACGAATAAAATTATTGTTATTATTATTACTATTATTATTATGATTATTATTATTATACGATGCCATTGAATGACGTCGAGGTAATACCGGTCTAGGGATAACATATTTCTCTGTGGAATTATTAATACGACCACTGCTAGTATTAGCAGCGGTAGTATAAGGAGCAAAATAAACTTGACAAGTTAATGTACTGGCTTTTTGATACTTTTTTAAACGTTTACGTGGTTCAATCGACGATTGAGACAGTGACGGGAGTCGTCTATGATTACTATGACTTCTAGTATTACTGGAATTATTAATTGGTAATTTTTGCTGCTGCTGATGTTGTTCTTGACTAACAGCAATCTTGAGTGGATTGTTAAAGCTTCTGCTGTTGTCAAATGTTGATTCGTCGTCGTCGTCAGTAGTAGTTAAACACATCGTATTACTGTCATTAGTATTAGTATTATTATGGTTATTCGTATGACTGCCAGTCACTTTTGATGAGTTGGAAGTGTTTGGATTTAATTGAGGAGTTGTCAGAAAGTGTGCTCCTTCTGCTTCTTCTCCTACCTTTTCTTCTTCTCCATTGCTCACTCGTATAATGGTCTTCAGATTATGTTGGTGCTGCTGGGTGCAACATTTAAAGAGAAAGGAAATATATATACACATCTAAATACACTAATAGTAACATATGAGATACGCATACAACAAGTTAAAAACACTTTTTGTACGAAATTAAAGAAGCAATAACTTGTTTGCTTGATATTTAGATGATGAGGTTTATGCGGGAGGATTGATATCAGATAGAGTTAGAATCACCGATAACCCAGGAGATAACGGACAGGTGTTTCATCCTGATTTGGGATTCATCAGCAGCACGACTCCACCAGGATTCGAACCAAGAAGCTTACAGTTTATAATCAATTATAATCAGACGGCTTCGAAACTTCCGTCTTAAAGTTTTCTTTGTTCTCTCTTATTTGTCGTCGTAGGAGTAGGGTTGAATCATTCCTATTACACGTATTCTCTTCGGTTGATTCGATAAACACAGCTTCTGTTATCAATCTCTCCCTCCACCATGTTAGTTGCATTAGATTTTAAAACTTTCATCTTATCCCATCCAGCCTATTATATGGTTGTGTGTAATTGCATGTAGTGAGTGCTATAGCTGCTGAACTATTCTCTAGATTTCTTATCTTATTCGAGTCAACTAATCTAGATTTTGCTGCTAGGTTTTTATGTTCAGCTAGTCTGAATGACTGCATCTGTTCTACTAATTTGACCTGACAATCATTGCAGACAGGGTATTAGATAAACTAAATTGTTTTGTTTTAAAGGCTCCACAGGATCCACCATTTAACTGACAAAGCTTGTTTCTAATTGAGTTTGTGGTAGGTCTGAATGTCAGTCACTTTTATTTCTGCCTACATTGTTAAGAATTCTCCGCCGTAAGGTGGCTTCCGAGGTTCCTTCCTTGTATGGAATTACTATTGTTGATTTAGATTCCTTATTGTTGGTGTTGTCTTGCGCATATTTGACATGTATGTCGTGATTATAATAATAATAATAATTATTATTACCCTGATAAATTAGTCAGGAAATATGTAGGGAAATGTAAAATTAAAATAAATAATGATAGTAGCGACAGTGATAATAATAATAATAATAACAATAATAATGATAATATTAATGACGACACCAACAATAAGGAATCTAAATCAACAGTAGTAATTCCATACAAGCAGGGAACCTCAGAAACCTTACGCAGAATTCTTAACAAGGCAGGCAGAAATAAAAGTGACTGACATTCAGACCTACCACAAACTCAATTAGAAACAAGCTTTGTCAGTTAAATAGTGGATCCTGTGGAGCCTTTAAAACAAAACAATTTAGGAAGTATCTTTAGCCCTCGAACAAACTATATGATTTTGTATGGTCATAATGAATAGTAATGACAATGATTAAATATAAAACAAGCAATAAAGCAGGTTAATAAAGCAGGATTTAATGAATTCATCAAATTTCGGTAGAACTCGTCAGCTGCTCAGTATTCTACATACACAGATATATATATATATATATACTTTTGAAATTACATTGGGAGATATAAGACTGATAAGTAAACAAACTACATTGAATTAGTCATGCAGAAAGACAGGAAGCAAATGCATAGGTCGTACAGAAAGGCGATTGTCTACTCGGATGATGAAGCATTTGCCAAAATGGTTGAAAACAGCTGAATGCAAAGTGCCAAAATCCTCAATAACAAAACATCTTGTGGACTACGGACATGACATCGACGCTGTCAAGTCACTCACTATTGTCAGCAGACAAAGAAACAAGATGTTTGCAATTGTCGAGGAGGCTTGAGAAATTCGAGTTTATAAACCAGGTGTCTCTGTGTACAAAAGGAGATGGTCGTCACTCTGAATCTATCGTGGTAAGACGTTTTACTTATTATTCTACCTATTATTATTATTATTATTATTAATTCATTTAAATCTATTTTTTATCAGTAGCATTATCTTAACTCACTTCAGTATTATTATTATTGTTGTTATAACTATTACTATTGATATTACTCTGTTTGCAATTCTTCTTACATTCTCTAATGACTAATTGTTTATCTAAGTGATGTAATTGAAGCGTAATGCATTTTCAAGTATTGGTTTTTTGTAGGGATTTTGTTTGATTGCATGGAGGATTTTATCATGAGCTGACATCAGTTAGAGAACCACTGGAAAACCTGGGAGTACTGGACAGCTGTTTCGTTCTAGTTTGGGACTCTTCATCAGTACGCATTTTATCTTAATTTTAATCCCTCATACTCTCTCTACCCTTTTCTGTTTGAACATGACCTGGGAAACATTCGCACATGTCTTTCTGCATGACTAGTTCAATGTAGTTTATTTACTTATCAGTCTTATATCTCCCAATGTAATTTCAATAGTATATATATCCGCCCGTGTATGTAGAGTACTGAGCAGCTGACGAGTTCCAACCGAAATTTGATGAATTTATCATTAAATCCTGCTTTATTGCTTGTTTTAAATTCGTATCGGGAAATAAATGTTTTCGATTAAATATATATAAATTTGAAGTACATTCCGCAAAAACATTTTTAAAAATATGGACTCACTTTAACTGAATTTGCTGATGATGACATCATTTGATTATCGTTTATACTCCATCTCCAATAATCTGATGATCGGCATAAATCAATATTTAAACTAGGTGGTGGTGTCGCTTCATCATAAGTCGATACAACAAGTGGAGGTGATTCAGAAGCATTACGTCTACGTTTCCCTGAACAACACGACGACTGTTGTGATCGTTGTTGTACTGAACCGAAAGCAGCAGCAGCGCCAGCACCAGTACCAGAAGCAACAGTATTACGTGATGATGAATTTTGTGAACTTACCGATGAATAGACAGTTGATGAATTCGATGGAATACTACTTGATTTACTCGTTCGTGTTACTGAGATAGCAGCTTTCAAACGACGTTCAACATCTGGTAGGATAAGTGCAGCCGTCAAATCAGAGATAACACGATGTGGACAATTGAAATGACGTCGAATAAGATGATAATGAGAGTTAACACTACTACTGTTACAGCAGGCATTACTGGCATCATCATTATTATAATTGTCAATCATTGAATTAGCTGATGATTTTTCATTAGCAATAGCAGATGACCATGTATGATGGACAAGATTCGATGGTATCCAACTAGACGAATCATCGGATGATAGTAATACGGCATCCTCTTTATTATTATTATTATTATTATGAAGATTATCATCAAATGATATAGAAGATTCATTCAATGGAGAAATTGAACCGGTTAGATTGAAATCAATCCATTCACTGGAATCATGAAGACTTGATGTGTTGTTATAATAACCATCATAATTTAAACAAATAGAATCCCCCTCCTCCTCATCATTGTTCGGTGCTGTTGTTGTTGTTGCTGTCTCCAACGGTGTCGGTGGTGGTAGGTAAGGCGATTCTGTATAACATGGATAAGGAGCGGATAAAGCTGAATTGACGGCATTAACACTTCCACTGTTGTTATTATTGGTAACAGGATCCCCCCATATACTAGGTCGATCTTCTTTAAGCAATTCAATCAATATATCATCAGGGATTAGATCAAGTGCTGATAACAGATTACGATTATCTGTTAAATCCACATGATCTAGAATTAAGAGAGAATTCAGAAGAGAAAAAAAATGACATATATAAGGGTGATAATTACTGCTCAAGACATAAGTACGGAAGTGCATCGGTGACACAGCGGTTAAAAGGCTGCTCGCCGACCATGCAAATCTCAGCACGAATACAGAGGGCTAGTTTCGCATATGCCAGTTTACACCATCTCTGGCGTAGACGTAATATCCGGCTGGCTGTCGACCAAAGGGCATGTGTACTGCTTAGCAGTCCACTCCGTCCTCCTTTCTGGCTGCGAGACCCGGCCATTGAGAGCGGAAGACATGAAAAGATTACCTGTCTTTGATTATAGGTGCCTGCGTTCTATCTCCCACGTGAAGGTGAGCAATATTGAGGTTAAGCGTGAGTCCAGTGCTAGGTAAGGAGGGGAAATCAGTCGACGAGACTGTGAAATTACATCGACTGAGATGGTCAGGACATGTGTTACGCATGTCTAGTCATCGCCTTCCTCGACCGAAGGGCAATGTTAGCTGATATAGAGTCAGGCTGGAAAAGAGCTAGCGGCGGTCAAACCAAAACATGGCACCAGTCAATGAAATCCACAACAGTTAGTCTAAGCCAGCCACGTAGGAAGGTGCAGACTTCCTGACTGGTTGGGGTCCTCGGGACGGTAAAAACCAATGGTTGGAAACAATTGATGACATGGCTCAAAATCGTTCTCAATTACAGCGCAGATTCATCCACTCCTTGTGACTTATGATTTCCAATTAAACTGTTTTGTTCGTCTTTATTACCATTCCTTTGTCTCACACCTCTGTTTACTATCTCTATTATGCATTTCTCCTACTTTCTTCTCTTGCTTTGTGTGCTACAAAGAAGGAGTGTGGCGACTTGAACTGGCGCACATATGTGCAAAGTTCTATGTCGAAAACAGACAGACAGACCATGTATGTGGGCCGGGGTGCGATTCCCGACCAACGGACGCACTCTTTTACCTCGCTCACTAAGCCAGTAATAAAAAGCTGGTAAAGAGGAAAGGTTGGGAGCATAAGGATAGCAACCCCATCCATCCTGTAAGAATAATCACCACTGCTACAGAAACTTCAAGCCGCTAGCTTGAAGCCCTAATGTTCCATTGAGGGGAACGTGAAGGAATAAAAATAATAATAATAAATACGGAAGGCTATCATCACCCATCCTCAAATCGAGAAGTCTTTTCAATTCCAACGGATAATTAAATTTGTTGTTATTAGATGATTGGAGGCGATTGGCGAGGAAGCCCTGATGTGAGACCTAGGTTTAACGCTTGTTGGCCCTCACCAGTCAGTCAGTCAGTCGGCAAGGAACTCATGTCCCTTCTGAGACTCGAATCGCTGTTGCTCAGTGCTGCAATCAGAATATCTATTTCATGGAACGATTAGACTGCCAACATAATCCTATATCAGTTCACATTCCACGGCAAGAAAGGAGGTGGACTTGGCGTGTACAACACGTGCCCTAGCCATCTCAATCGACGTAGCTTTACGACCTTATCCATTGCATTGATTTACCGTCTCCTTATCAACATATCTTGAAATTAAATATAGTTTCAAAGTTGATTCTATGCATTATCATCTCTCTAGAATGCTCACCAACGACTACTCATATGGTCTGAGGTTTGATCCCCAGCTGACGCAATCCTATACATCGCTTGATCCGTAGTCTATCTGTCTGGATTCAACATGGAACTTGGCACCGAAGTGCATCAGTTTGAGTTGCCACGTTCCAAATACCACACAAAGGTAGAAATGAAGATGACTGAAGAGAATCAATAGAGTTTTGACAAGTATAAGAGTGAAACAGAATGAGTAATGGTAGAAAGGAATATGAAAGATTACAGAGACTGAATGCATCTGCGTAAGCCATTGACAACGATTTTCAGCCATGTCACCTATTGTCTGTCTCCAGCCATTGATTCTTAGAGTCCCGAGGGCGGGCCCCAACCCGGAAGTCTGCATCTCCCTCTCTACCTGACTCAGTTTAACTGTCAAGGATTTCATGGATTGATGAGGCCATGTTTCTGTTTGGCCACCACTTACTCTTTTCCAACCCACAACACCTATATCAGCCAGTAATGCCCGTCCGTCGGGGGAAACGATGGTTAGGCATGTGCAGTACGTGACCTAGCCATCTCAATCTACGTAACTTCATAGCCTCTTCGAGTGATTTTCCCTCTTTGCCCACCACTCTACGCCTAACGTCAACATTACTTAACTTATTATGCCACCTAACGTGAGAAAGAGATCGTAGACATCAACGATCAAAAACAGACAACCTTTTCATGTCTTCAACTCGTATTGGCCATGTTTCAGATCCATAGACAAGGACGGAGCGAACTGCTGAGTAGTACACACGTCCCTTGGTTGATAGTCGGATGTCACGCCTACGCCAGAGATGGTGTAAGTTAGCGAAAGCAGCTCGAGCTTTTTGGATTCGTGCTGAGATTTCGTCACCAATCAATCCGTTGGTGCTGATACAAAGTAGTAAGCCCGGTAAAGACAGAAGGTTGGACATGAGGCGCTAGCAACCCCAACCCTATAAAAAAAACAACGAAACAATAACACCATTGCTACAGAAACATTGAAGCTCAGCTCAAACTAGAAGCCTCACCTTGCAGTACTCGGAAGGGAAACACAATTTAGAAAAATCATCTATTGAACTTTTCTAGCTTCTATTTATTTTTTGTTCAACTGCTCAACTGCTTTGGCAAATTCTGCATTCTGCCTTCATATTCACATGTGTTGATCATTCTGACAGTTGGTTTCATTAGAAGCATAGTAAGTAATAGTAGCACCTACTGATCCCTCCTTCTCTCTACTAATACACACATTCACACGCACACACACACACCTGTCTTTGATGCATCAAGGTTCACATGTGATAATCATAGAGGAATCAGCCTGACGAACATAGTCAATAAAATCCTAGGCTCAGTAATCATGAACAGACTAAGCCGAACTCGGGAGGAACAAACGAGGGAAAATCAAGCGGGATTTAGGCCAGGTAGAGGGTGCATAGATCATATCTTCACTCTCCGACAGATCCTAGAACATAGACACACTTTAAGGCGTCCAACAATTGCCATATTTCTTGACTTGAAGGCGGCCTTCGACTCCGTGGATCCAGAGGTATTATGGCAATGTTTGACTGTGAAGGGAGTGCCAAGAAAGTACATTGCACTAATCAAGGCACTCTACTCAAACTCACGTAGCTGTGTAAGGGCTTATGGGGAATTGTCATCTGAATCGATAACAACCAGTGGTGTCCTTCAGGGATGTCCACTTTCCCCATTTCTGTTTAACTTCATCATAGATATGCTAATGGAAGTATCCTTAACTGAACTTAACGACTTAGGAATCGACTTCTTACCAGGGAATAGTCTTATGGACTTTATTTATTTATTCACTTTTTTTTTGATTACAGCTTGATGCCACACCGTATTTTCAGTACAAGTATGGCATTTTCAGCATGGATATCGGTAGCCCAAATTTGCAGGCCGACCATAGATATCGGGTGTGCACCGGCAGGGGATCGAACCCCGGACCACGTGCATGGTCGGCGAGAGTCCTAACCCCTGTGCCACCGACTTAGAATATGCAGATGACATAGTCCTGTTAGGGGAGGATGCTGACAGAATGCAGTCTTCTCAACACCTTGAGGAGCAGCAATCTTAGTATGTTTGGCATGCGATTTGCCCTTGCAAAATGTAAGATGATGCTACAGGACTGGACTACGTCAACTCCTAGCTTAGGGATAGGGAGTGAAGTGATAGAACATGTTGACCACTTCACCTATCTGGGAAGTTGTATCAGCATCAACGGACTGATTGGCGACAAAATCTCAGCACGGATCCCAAAAGCTCGAGCTGCTTTCGCTAACTTACACTATCTCTGGCGTACGCGTGACATACGACTATCAACCAGGGGACGTGTGTACTGCTCATCAGTTCGCCCCGTCCTTCTCTATGGTGGTGAGACGTGGCCATTGAGAGCGGAAGACATGAAAAGGTTGACTGTTTTTGACCACAGATGTCTACGATCTCTTTCTCGCGTTAGGTGGTATAGTAAGGTAAGTAATGTTGACGTTAGGCGGAGAGTGTTGGTTGGGGAAAGAGGGAAAATCAATCGAAGAGGCTATAAAGTTACATAGATTGAGATGGCTAGGTGACGTGCTGCGCATGCCTAACCGTCGCCTCCCCCGACGGACGAGCATTACTAGCTGATATGGGTGTTGTGAGTTGGAGAAGAGTAAGTGGTGGCCAAACAAAAACATGGCCTCATCAATCCATGAAATCCTTGACAGTTAAACTGAGTCAGGTAGGGAGATGCAGACTTCCTCTGGGTTGGGGCCCTCGGGACTCTAAGAATCAATCAATGGCTGGAGACAATAGGTGACATGGCTCAAAATCGTTGTCAATGGCTAGCTCAGATGTATTCAGTCTCTGTAATCTTTCATATTCCTTTCTACCATTAGTCACTCTGTTTCACTCTTATACTTGTCAAAACTCTATTGATCCTCTTCACTCATTTTTTTGTCTACTGTTGTGTGCTACTTGGAACGTGGCAACTCGAACTGGTGCACTTCAGTGCCAAGTTCTATGTTGAATCCAGCAGTAGTAGTAGCATCAAGTTGCAAAGGATATAATGCAAAATACCACTTAAAAGACATTAGTACACTTTTGGTAATGGTTAATATCAAAGAATAAACGATCAGAGTGATCAAAGGGAATAGTAAGGAGCGCAGATCAACATACAATAATATAAGAAGACTGGAAATTATACATATATATATGATGACGTAATAAAGGCAGGGAGAGAAAGAGACAGAGGCAGATGAAAAGTAAAGTATGAAAAGGAAAAGAGAGTGGGTGGATGGGAGAAATGAATGCCAATAATAATCGACTTCACCTCCCAAGACAAAAGTAGAATCAAACGTATGTGACGTAAATGTATATATATATATATATATGACGTAAACGAAATAGGAAGA